TGGTTAAGTATTTTTTCATTTATTTGTTAGATTTCGCATTTCTTATTTTTTCAAATAATTCACAAAGCTCAAAGGAAAGTTAAATATTTTAGTTTTACACTTTTACTTAGCAAAGAAATAAAAAAGGTAAAAAAAACAAAAAAATAAAAAGGTAAAAACCAGTTTGGCCCGGTTCAACCCATGCCCAAGGCCCGAATTGTAGCCCAACCTAGCACGGCCTGTAACCCAACCCCACGGCATCGCACGACGTGGCACGAGCTTGGGCTGTGGGCTATGCTAGACCGACCCCCAAAGTTATCCCTAGGGAGGGAGGCATAGCCTAGGACAACCCGTGGGCTAGCATGGCACGACTCGCATTTTGCACGGGCTGCCCATTTGCCATGCCATGCTGGCCCAGCACAACCCATTTTACATCTCTAGAGGCAGGCAAAGAGATATTTGGGAGAAGATGAGATGGAGGATGTGATGGAATCTCTATAGCTACATGTTTCAGATTTGGAAACATTATGGGTGGAGAGATATTTGAGAAGACAACTCCCACTAAGTGATTTAAATCTATGGGGTTGCAAAAAATTAGAATGTCTCCCTGTCTTAGGGGCAATTGCCTTACCTTAAGAATCCTCACCTCTATGGGATGGATTTTATTAGATACACAGGTAAGGAGGTGTTTTATGGTGAAGATAATGATAATAATAATAATAATAATAATAATAATAATAATAATAATAATAATAATAATAATAATAATAATAATAATAATAATAATAATAATAATAGACGGTCCATATTGGTGTGTCTCTTATTTGGGGAAGTTATTTATCTATTTTCACAATTTTTTGTATCTTTTCCTATTTTCTTTTATTTTAAAAATATAAAAAAGTAATCATTGCATATTTTGATTAGAATAATAAAACTGTACATTATTACAGAGAGACCTTTGGGTTTTATAAGGACACTTTTTTTTAATGCATGTTATTATTACATTTAAAAAAGGCATTTAAGAGAGAGAGAGAGAGAGAGAGTATTAATATTATTAAAGAGAGAGGGGTGATGTAAAGACTTTTGGGTATTTTAGGCCTCCCTCAGTGACTAAAGAACTCATTATACAAAACCCCCGAAACCCTAATATTAATAAAGTAATAAAACATTATTAAATTAATAGGACTATAATAAATTATTACTAAAATAATAGTAACAAACAAAGAGATTAATTATTAAATATAATAATAATGTATAAATAAAATATTAATGCAAAATATTTTGGGGTAGGAAAAAATTAATTTTAGTTATACTAATTAATAAATAAATAATAAAATAAAATACTAATATTAAGTAAAAAAATAAGATATTCATTAATTATTAAAGACTAATAGAATAACAATAAAAAAGTACTAATAAAATAATAAAATATTAATAAAATTTTTAGATGATTCCAATTCCAATTCCAAATGAACCAAACAACAACAATCGAAATCCAACAATTATGTATACATAGAAATTATGTATAACTATATAAAGTTTATAATTGATAAATTTAATATTTTATATTTATATACATTTATTATACATATATACTTTGAAAATAATTGTTTTTTAACTTTTTAATTTTTTGTCATTTTAAGCACAATATGATGATTGTAGATTAATTGCTAAGATGATCCAAAACCCAACATAATAATTAGATGCATGCGAATATGGATCTAGATTTCATAATTGAATGAGGATGCAGATGGAATTGATTTTGACCTGAATCCAAACCACTTACAATCCTACTATTTAGTATTTGCATTGTGTGGGGTTGGTATAGATTTGAGTTAGGTCTAGCTCAGAAGAAAATAGTTGATTAAGCCTGAAAATTTGTTGGTTTTGCTATACTTAGGCTAAGTTATAAATGATCGTCCCTATGTAGGAGTCTTAAGACATTTATAATTAAGTCATTATTAGTTTTAATATTTTAATTAAATTTTATAGATTTTATATGGAATGCAAATGGTTTATTTTGTTATTTTTAATATTTTTTTTATTATTATTTTATGAAGTATGAACTACTAATTTTTATTAATTTCTTAATTTTTAATGGTTTCTAGATAAAAATTTGCTAAAATTTAATTTTATTTATTAGGTTTCAAATTGTAATTTTATGACAATTAATCAATTAATAGGATTCAAATGTGAATGGGATGGTAATTGTTCCCCACCCCATTGGGTACTCAGCTTCTCTGACCCAATGGGGTCGATGATGGATACTGTCTTGGTAATGATCGATGGAGATTGACAATGATACCTAACCAAGGATGGGGGATATGAGGACAAAGATTTGTTTCATGGTATTAACCTTGAGCTTGGACTTAGATTAATTTAATTATGACTAAAAAATTAATCTATAGATTAATTTAATTATAACATTTAATGATTAATAAAGTAAACTAAATAAAATAAAACACTAACAAGTAATATGAAAAATAACTATTTATTGAATAATTAACAATAATTATTATTAAATTGTTTTTTTAACAAATTACTAAAATTATTAATATAATTATTAGTTCCCATTGTTTTACTTTTCCTTGATAAATCCTGTGCATCACATGGGTCCCTGCTAGTATATATTGAAATGGAATATGTCAAGCTTGGACTTAGATTAATTTAATTATGACTACAACCAAATTTTATATATTTACTAATATTTAAGTAACATTTACAAAAAATTGTAAAATTTAATCATTAATATAGTATAGTAAATAAAATAAAACATGAACAGATAATATGAAAAAATAATTATTTATTGAACAATTAGCAATAATTATTATTAAATTGTTTGTATAACAAATTACTAAAAATAAGATTACTTAAATTATTAATATAATTATCAGTTCCCAATGTTTCACTTTTCCTTGATAAATCCCATGCATTGCACAGGTCCCACTAGTATAGGCACTTTCCTGTTCTATAGTTTCTTCTCAAGTCACTATCTTTTTTCTATTTTTTGAATTATCTACTTTTAAAATTGAACAAAATAATTCAAGCAATGACCAATCACCTTTTAACACTTTTAACACTCCTCGTTAATTCTTTCTCTCTCTCTCCCCCACTAACTTTTATAATATCTCCTCATTAATCATGCCATTAACTCTCTCCTTCAATAACTTTACCTATATCTATATCCATTTCAATTTAACTATAATTATATATATTAGATATATTTGCATTAAATTATATTTATTATTAAAGATTAATTATACCAAAATTGTGATATTCAATGATATGATATTACACTAAATAATCTACTTCCATTTAAAATTCTAATCCATTTAAAAATAATAAAAAATTAATTAACCATAACAAAAATAATTTAGTAAGTTATTTAAATAAAACAAAAATAATTATTAATTATTGATATTGATAAAAATATTTTTACTAATATAATAAAAACAATTTAATTAATAAAAAGGAATAAGATAAATTAAAAACTAAGTTCTACCGATTTAAAACCAACTTAAGTTCTATTCAAAAGATAAAAACTTAATATAGTTAATTAAACTTCATTAGAAATTTAAATTTAATAAAAACTTAATACACTTAATTTAATTTAATTTTACTAATTTAAAATATTAAAATAAAATACCAATTTTAAATATAGTTTAATTATTTTAAAATCAATTTATATTCCATTTAAAAATAAGGAAAATTATAAAAACTTCATTGGCTTTTCTAGCAATCCTATTTAGTTCCCTATTGTTTTGACCTGAACAAAAACCTCCCTTATTGTTTTGAAAAACGTGCAAATACCTTCCTTTAGTCATCATTCAAATAAAAAGTGTTGATGTAACACATTAATTTTACTTCACTTCGACCTTTTTCCTTACTTTGTCTAAGAAGAGTTAAGAAGAATTATTATTTGGCAAAAAAATTAGTGAAGGGTAAAGTTTAAATTTTAAATTGTGTATGATAATAGTTCGGATCTCCTATACCCACAACAACCCTACCCACACCTCACTATAGTTGTACACCAAGAACATCTCCTGTATTTGCATGTTACCATTCATGGGGAGATGCTCCCAATGTATAGCTATAGTGTCATTTGGGTAGGAGATTTGAATTTGTATGATAATGCATTAACAATGATACGAGTATTTTAGTAACTTTCAATGTCTTTATAACTAAAAAGCCAAGGGAAAGGAGGTATTTGCACTTTTTTTTTTTTCAAAGCTATATGCTGTGTTTGGAAACATGCAAACAAGTGAATGCAAATATGTAGAGTGTAAAATGGTTCATATAAATTGTAAAGTTTTTGTACGGACAAATTTACCTTGTTACCAAAGAGATTTTTAGATTAATGGATGCAAACATGAATTCCAATAAAGCATATGCCTTTATTATTGAAAGCCCACTTGAATGTAGATTTATTTATTCTTTATTGATGTACTTTTACACCTTATTATCAAATATAAATGTGCATTGGAAAATGTGTTTTTTATCATTTGCCAATGCATAAATGTAATGTTACCAAACATGGGCAAAAGTGAACCAGAGTGCAAATTTATCCTAGATCAGAATTTACACTCCATTTGCATCGCTTCCAAACACAGCCATAAGGGAGGACATTGTTAGGATCAATACGCAAAGGTAGTTTATAGAATTGTTATTTATATGTTTTTTTATAATTTTACCTAAAATTAATAAAAAAAATACAAATTCATCTAAAGAATAGAAAATTGGCCACTCTCACTAAAGTGCAATTTAGATTATGATTGGAAAAACTGCATATAACCCAAAAGTAATAATTGAATTGAGATAATTGGTATTTCAAAATAATTGAATTAAATGCAAAATGAAAATGTCATAGAACTCCATGCCCGTGCATCGCATGGAAAATAAACCGAAAAACCGACCGATTCGGTTAATCGATTTTGCGGTCCGGTTTTTCTTTTTCGGTTTTTTCACGAGCACCAGCAAAATGTCAGAAAAAGGCTCAAAACAGAAAATTTTCGTCCCGTTAAAAATACCGAAGGCGCAAAAGACCCTATGTGCGAAAGTGCTGTTTGCGTTTTGCAACGGAACTCTCTCTGGTTAATTTCAGTTGGAAGAAAATAAAAAGAAAAGAAAATTAAAAGAAGAGAAAAATGGCGGCTGCTTCACCGATTCCGAGCACTAATAGCAGCGATACCACCACCACCACCGCTACAGCTACCGTCACTACAACCACTACGCCACAGCGTTCTGACCCACCGAAGAACTTACGCGGCCTCAACAAGCCCAAGTGCTCGAAGTGCGGCAACGTAGCTCGTTCCAGGTAACTCTCCTGCCCTTAAAACCTTCTCACCAACGGTAAAGAACAAAAACCAAGCAATTGTACCGTGAAAACCCTAGCTTTCTTTTTCTAGGGTTTGTTTAGATGCTTTTCTTCGCAACAAACGGTATTTTATCGTCGGTTTGAAGGTCTGAAAGTGTTGAATAACTTCCTCATTTTTTTTCTTGATTGAAAGTTTAGCTCAATTGGAGAATTGATGGTTGAAATGGTATTCTTTTCCTCGTTCTCCAGAATGTTTATGTATTTAAATATGTTCTGGTGTAATGATGACTATGATTCTCGGGGATTTTAAATTTCCACTTTCGATCGCGTACGGATTGGTTGCGTTCTATTACCTAGATGACGTGGAGAATACCATGGACTTCACTTGTGTGTTTTTTCTGATTGTTCTTTACGGTTCACACTAACCTACTGACTGAAAGTGGTTAGTGATCTGAGTTATAATTTGACAGAAAACATGGCTCTTGTAGAGAAAATGACATGACGAGATTTGTTAGCCGACCCAAAATAGTTACGAATTGGGGTTAAGGCTGAGATGAATTGAGTTGAGCAGATAGACTTAGTGGCGAATCTACAATTGAAAGAAACAAAGAGGGTATAAGAGTACAGTGGCACTTTCTGAAGCCATTTTTCTAACTTCTTTAATAATGGCCTTATTATGATCAAGGGTTAGGCCTCTTATTTTAATTATGAACTCAAAATAACAACCTTCGAAGGCCATTTCCTGCAGTATATTGACTGTTATTCCATTACTTTGGGGACCTTGTAACTTGTAAGCTATAATGGCATTTCATTATATACTATTCTCTCTCTCTCTCTCTTTTAAACCAATCTATTTTATACTTTTTTGATTGGTTATATTATACTATATTCTATTTATTTTGTACTTATTTCAATGTGAATATTTGACAATAGCAACAACAAAAAATATTTAATAATAGAAAAAAAGTTGGAAACTTTTCTTGTGACTAGCTTTTGGAGCTTGAATGGTGACCTTGAAGAAGAAGTATATATGGTGCAAACCCTGGGTTTTTGTGCTCGAGGCAGTGGGCAGAAAGTATATGGGCTGAAGAAGTCTTTGCATGGGTTAAAACAATCACCGAGGGCTTGGTTCAACAAGTTTCATTTAACGGTGCAACATATAGGCTCTAAATGGTGCTAGACAGGTCATACAGATAGGCTCTTAGCAAGCAACTAGGGCTGAATTCGAGCCGAGCTGAGCCGAATGTCTGGTTATTTGAGCTTGGCTTGCCAAAAAACCATGAGGCTGGAGCTTGATTTGAGCTAGAGACTTGAGCTCGAGTTTGGCTCAACTCAGAAGCTCGTATGTTTGAGCTCGGCTCAGCTCAAGCTCAACTGTAATCTAAGTTTCCTATAAAATTAAAAAAACTCATGTATATTATATAGGCTTGTGAGCCTCATGAGCTGAACTTTATTGGGCTCGAGCTAGGCTCGAAGCTTGGTCTAAACCAAGCTTAATCAAGCTTTTCACGAACTGAGCTCGAATAGCTCATGAAAGCTCGATTCGTGTCCACCCATATAGGCAACTGAACAACAGTCTTCCAATTCTTGATGTCATCTCTATGTTGATTGTGGGTTCAGGAACTTCTGTTGATTGCCTAGATGAGATTATATATTTGGATTTTGGTTATTTCTGTAAAATGGTTTGCATCCATTATCTTTCCTTGATTGATGCGAATAGGCAAAAGTCAAATTAATGAAAAGCTCTGCTACAGTTTTGGACCTCCTCTATCTTCTGTGTTTCTCATGAGTCCGAGGCATAGGCAGCTTTTACAATTCCCCTTTCCAGAGGGGCTAAGCCATGATATTTCCAACATCTAGATTCATTTGCATTAACAATTAATGTTGAGATCTTCCCTTTTTATTGCATTTACTGAGAGGATGAAACAGGTTGCTCAAGAAGCTTTGTTGATAGAGCAATAGAGCTTGCTCTGTAGATTTTATCCAATGGAAAGTAGCTGCTGCATCTCTTTTCCATGGTTAAGTGAGTTTCAGAATTTAAGTAATAGGCATTAAGCGTATTCTCTATCATGGTTTTTAGACTTAAAATTTCGGGGAGTATTGGGTTGGGTTCTAGAAAAATGCAAAATTAATCTTGCAAAGGTCACATTCTAGACCTCTTAATAACCACATGACATCCGAATGACTGAGCCAAAAATTAATATTCTGAAAATAAAAACAGAGATGCATGCTGAGCTTGGCATGTGCAAGGCAGCATCATTGTGTGCACAGCTGAAGTTGTGGTGGGGCTTGGATTACATTTGCATTAACGTATGTACAACTTAGCCACATTTGAACCTCCTCTACAATAAAGACCTCACTTGTACTAATATTGATGCACAGGCCTGAGAAAGCATCAAAGGCTCAAAGCACACAAAAATGCATCTCAGATATTTGGGAAAAACTCAGGCTGTTTGGGAGCTTCATGCGCTTGATACATTATAAAAGGGTATTTGCAATCAATATTCTCTTAGACAACATTGACTAAAGTTTGTTTCTGCTGACTCTGATAAGTTTTATCTTCTTTTCTTCTTCATAATGTTTTACTCTCCTGTCCTTATAATACTCAGTCCAGCAGCCCAACATTCTAAGCTATAATCCCATCACTATTTCCTTTCCTCCTCATAATCTAGACCCTTGCCTCAAGACACACCTACACCTTCTGCTGGCATGGGGAGGGTCCTTGATGTAAGTGGTCTTGTGTTGGAAATCCTGATGTTAATTTTTTTTGATAAGTCAACCTGATGTTTTTGCATGTATTACTTTTTGATAAAATTCTCACTTGTGGCTAAAAAATTGCCTTAAAATAGAATGAAGAACCATTACTGGCTCTTGATGCTGGAGCATGAGCACTTAAATTTAGGTTGTAAACTACCTCCATCAAGACTACTACTGCAGTTTGAAATCCTAAAATTTCCATTCCTCCAGTTAGGAAGGAGCCCTTCTAATGTTGAACAATTTTCTTCTGTATGGTCTTACCCAATAATTAAGAGTTTTGTTGAGAAAAATATGAGATTAAATGTTCTTGGGACTTGAGGAAATAGAAGCTCCCTTGTGCATAAAGATGCCCTCCAAGATTGACTTCATGACGTGGATGGCATTTTAGAAAGATGTGTCGCAAAGGATAAACTGCTGTTCCAGAGAATGAACATCCCATCATCTAAATGCATCTTTTGTTCTTGGCTTGCCACCTTGAAACGGGTACTCAACTGTATATATGCTCGTTATAGGGTGAGCTGCAGGGTTTGGTCTTTTTTCCTTCAGCAGTTAAATGTCAGCTTATATACTCCCAAGACTCTCATGGTGACTCTTGTTTGCTAGCTTGTTAAGGAACTCTGGAAGTGGGGTAAGCTAGCCTGGTTCTCTGTACAATTGGTAGTGATTTGGACTGTAAGGAGTGAGTTTTTGTAGAATGGCTTTGTTCAGGAGGATGAGTGAATAACGAGGGCTGTTAGATTGACTATGTCCTCTCTGTCAGTGCTGAAGACCTTCAGGGATGCTCCTCTGTCTTTCATTTATTTGGTGAACACTCGGTTTACTTAGTTTGTTTTTGTTATGGATGTGTTGACTGGTCATGTATTTCAGTTATTCATTGTACTAGTACTTGTTGATGCTGCCTTATTTTTATGCTTCAATTCAATTAATAAATACTTTTCTTGATTTCCTCCAAGAAAAGGATACCTACAAGCCTCATTGGGCCCAAGGTCAAGCTGTTACCTAGGCACTTGCTTAGGTGATGCCTAGGTCCCTAGGTAATAGGAAACTCACTTAAGTGTAAACAAAATGCATATGGCACCTTCCTGGGTGTCAAGGTACCTGCCTAGGCAAAAATGGACCAAGTAGTTATCTTATTATGCTTTAAATGAGGAGTGTGTGGAAGTATGGTGTGTTGTGATACACCTTATCAAAATGATATGAAAAATTAGCCTGGAAGAAATAAAGGGTTTCAGACATTTTGGTGCAAGATTTTAAGGGTTTAGTTTGCTGATAAGAAAAAAGGATTTTAAGGAGGAAGAGAAAGATCAAGGTTGATGCTAGGGGTTCTGGCCTATGTTGATTGGGGTACAGGTCTGAGGTATGCATTTTTTTTTAGTTTTATTCTTCTTTCTTTCCTTCTTTCTGTTGGTATCTAGACCAAGAGAACAAGGAATTTTCCTGTCTATAATTCAACACCAAAGAACACCAGGAGCCTCATCTTTTGTTTTTGGTTTTTTTTGGTCAATAACTGAAAAATTTTCATTGAATTAGTAAAATGATTACATCAATTGAACCAGCGAGAGATAACCACTATTATCTCTCCCTGAACACAGTTAAGTACAAATTTCTTCAATTACAATTGAGCCCGAAAAAGCTGAGTTCTTCCTGTCCCCTGTCTAGCAAGAGTTTCCACAAATGAATTTGCGTTTCTTTTCACCCAGTGTACTCTCACCTCCAAATTCTGTGCTAACCATTTAATCTTTTTTCTTTTCGTTATTATACAACCAATGACTTGGTTCTTTATTTCGCAGTCAATTCACATCTTTTGTTTTTGTTTTTTATTGATTTTTTTATTTTTTATTTTTTGCCATCAAGAGTGATAAGAACCTCTTAGTTTATCATGTATAAGTGCTCTGCACTCTGCCCCCTGTGGTTTATACTTCATGGAGGGCTTGTGCCCTCCTTTTATTTATTTTCGTCAGTAGAAGTTCATTTAACTAATTCAATTAAAACATTTTTTTGACCAATAACTGCATATTTTCATTAATAGATAAAGACAAATTACAAAAGAGGAGAGCTAAAATCTATTAACTCTCCACAAAGACTATTATAAAGTTACAGTTGAGCCCAGAATAATAATCCTCACCCCTACCTATTGGCCTTGAAAATAGACCATTAATTCTGCCCTCTTTGTTCCTGAAAACACCACCATACCTAAAGGACCTGGGTTGCTTGCAATCCAGGAGACACTTGCTTGGATAAGTGCATTTACCCAGATAAATGACTTACCAAGATGCAAACGAGGCCTTAAGGTGAGAGAAAAATTTACTTCTCTTAACAAAACCATTTTGTGAGCTAAGATTTCCATCAATTACCTTGGTTCATACCTTGCTTTTCTTAGAGAATGTTAAGATTGTATCAATTCTATGATTCTCCTAATACTTTCTTGTGGTAGTGCTAGAGAAAGTGCTCTTGGATTGTAGCTCTGAGTGATAAAAATCTTAGGGTGTTTGAGATTTCCACTTTGACCATAGTGCTGATCTTGCTTTCACTTTTCACTGATAATACATTTTTTGTCTGCACTTTGACTATTTGCTTGGTTTTCCTCCTTTATGTGCAAGTTTTTCTTTGTTTCAGATATGGAGCTTAAGTATTTGCTAATAGACTTGTATGAAGGGGTACTCGTTATGAGGCTATATTTCATATTTGAAGATGCATGCAAATATGTTACCTATTATTTACATACACACAAACAAGAGATCTAACCTTATTCATAATTCATTTATGGTATCATGGTTTGTTATTTATAATTTTCTTTTTCATATAAAAATTAAAGGCAACTGGTCTAATTGGCCACAAAGTTGCTAAACAGATTCACAATGCTTGGGATTTGGGAAAATGTGATCCTAACAATTCAATGAATGGAATCTTCTGCAATTGTGAGTATAAAATTTAAAGCATAAATTTTTAGTGCATGTAATGAAATACTGTTTACTTCGTATAGGGCTTGTTTTTCTTAATCAATCTTAATATAGGGATTGTTGAGATGTATTGATGACATAGAGAAATGATGCTTTTTGGTTTGGCCTTTTGATGATTAAATTATTGATGTGTAGGTGTCCTTACAAGTCTTGCAAGAGTTGCTGCGCAAAAGCTCAAAATCCATGTCATATACATGGTATGCTAACTATTTTTTCATCATAGAATGCTGATTCCTTGAAATTGCCTATTCCTTATGTTTTCTTGAATATATGTACATGTAATGAGATTGTATTGTATTGATGAGGACAAAAAGTTGTATATGAAGGAATGTCCATCGCTGTTATGGATACTCCTCAGGGAACCAAAGGTATAGGGTGATGGGGTATCTTTAGGATGTCGTGACAAGAAATTGTTGGCTTATTCTGGTCCTATAGGGAATGGCGATTCACTTCAAGCTAAAGGGCAGCCCAGTGCATGAGACTCCTGCCAATGTGGGTTCTGGTGATTCACTTCAAGCTGAAATAAAAAATATTGTTCCAATGTCTTTGGTTGATGACAGTTATAGGTGTACAAAAGGTGTAGATTTTGGGACTTGTAGGTGGTTACTAGGTGGTTCAGGAATGGATATTGGTTCATTGAAATAATGTTAAGAGGCTAGAGCTTTGGTATCTACAGAGGTTTGTTGTTGCCAGGATAGTACTTATTGAATGTTTATATTTAGTTTTGGTCAGCCTTCTTAATCGAGAGGCTCCCTAGGTGACCAGTTGATTGTGTACCTATGTCTGTTTTTAATGCCTTAATAGAGATCATACAACCCAATCATCTGTCAGTAAACTATAAAAGCATTAGGCAATTTCTGTACAAAAGGGCTCTTTCCACTTCAACTTTGGCTAGGCCATATGCATTTGAGTTCATTTTTTATGGGATTCTATACAGGTTAGGATAGATAACAAGAAGTATGTTGTTTCAATTAGGTTTGGCAATGAGAATTCTAGTAATACGAGTCCTAACTTCTATTCTAGTTAGTCTGGAGTTCCTACAGTTTTTCCTTACACTTCCTACAGTAATCAATCACTGCATGATAGGTGTTCCATCATGTGTATAAAGACCTATAAACGTGAGAGTAACTGGGCTTTAAACAAGTCCTGGACAATTGTCACATAAAGGTTGGTCAATGCAGGAAGTGTAGGAAATCCATTCTATGTTTTAATTGAGTCTGCATCAGCAGTAGCACCCTGAATGCCCAAAACATGCTGTTATCCTTGTTGAGTGAGGACCCCCTGAATGCCCACCCCAAAGTGAGCTACAATCAGTTGAATTTTCTCTTTGTTTGGGTGTAGGTGGAATGTTCCAATGGAGATTAAGATGCTGTTTGATTCATCAACTTTTGCTTGGCCGAAGAGAAGGGGAAGATTAATGTGGAGATGCACTAGAGCAGCAATGATTTGGACTTTGTGGGAAGAAAGAAATGCTAGGATCATCCAGCAGAAGGAGAGAAGCAAACAAGTTATTGTGTGATGACAAGAGTTATACATTGGCTACTAACTTTGGGTTTGTTTAGATAGTACTCCTTTGATGTTATTTGGAGGAACTAGTACTCGGTGGTTTCAAGCTTAGTGCAGAAGGTTAAAACAAGGTTGGCTTGGGTACCTCCATTTGAAGATTTTCTGAAACTAAATTTGATGGAAGTAGTTAAGGCAACCCATGTCCTTCTGGAATTGGAGGGGCCATAAGAGATAATGGAATTTAATGGAGACTCACTGAAAGCTGAACTGTACGCAATCTTACAAGGTGTTCAAATAACAAAAGTGATGAATTTGGAGAACCTGGTGATAGAAGGGGACTCCAAGGTGGTGGTGGGCTGGATAAAGAATCTGGATTCAGTGATATGGTACTATAGAGATGAAATGAAGAAATTCAAATGGATAACACAACATATGAATCTGGTTATACAATGGGTGGGGAGGGAATCTAATATTTTGGCTGATTCTTTAGCCAAGCAAGGGGTAATAAGGGATCAATTGTTATGGTTACAGTTGTAAATCTCTTGTTTTTTCTTTAAGAGTGAGGCTGCACCTCATGCCTCCCTTTGGGATGCTTGTAACAATTATTCTTTCTGGTATCAATGAAATTTTAACTTTTTTTTTATGGTTTATGGTAATTTTATTAATTAGAATAAAAACACAGTATACATCATACAACTCCCCACAAAGAGTGGTTGCTCCTCGTATAGGAATGAAATTTTAACTTTTACTTATCAAAAAATAAAAAAAAGGATTAATACTTGTGAGAATTTGCAAAGAAACAATAGTGGTTGCTCCTCAAATCCTCATTTGCAGAGCATATATGGTGAAAACTCTTTCTGCCTACTAAATTCCTGTAGATTTGTGTTTGTTATTTGGAACTTTTTTCTTCTTCTATTGGAAACAGGTGGGTTCTTCCTACTCCAGAAACCCCATTTTTGCTAATATTGTATATTCATCCTTCTTAAAAGTGTTTTAAGATCCAGATCGGACACAAAACCAGAAATCTTTTGGGTCATGGGTCAAACGGTTTGATTGTTAGGAGCCCAGAACCAGCAGCCAAGCCAATAATACAACAAGTGTATTCTAGAAGGAAAAAGAAGGGAGCCACGTTAGCAAATTCAGTTGCAACAGAAATGTAACCACCAAGTCTTGATCTTGATCTTGATGTAATACTCTGTACAATATAAACGGTCAAGAGGAAATAAGAAGGGAAGACAATCATTCAAACAATCTCTCTCTCTCTCGTCTTTCTCAGTAGGTAGCACCTCCTTGAAGTGGTGCCTAACAACTGGTATCGGAGCTGGCAAGCCAAGATGCCAAGCACCAGATTGGGAACTGTGGGAGATCGTATGGATCGAGTGGAGCGAATGCAGAAGATGTCCAGCGACCTCCAGGAGCTGAAAATGATCTTGGCAGCGGTGGTTCTCCAATTGGAAAAGGGAGCCTCTGTGAGCAACAGGGAATAAGAAGGAACTGGCGGAGACAGTGGTGGAGGCGGCATGTCCGGAACAGGAAGAGGACCGGTCATCTCTCGACTGGATTTTCCCACCCTCAGCGGCGATGATCCTGTGCCATGGATCTTCAAAGCCGAGAGGTACTTCAAATTCCATGAGACACCTAGTCATCAGAGAGTCCTGATCGCATCCTTCCACCTGGAAGGAGAAGCTATTTTTATGGTTTCAATGGTTCTGTAGATCCCATCCCCAAGTATCCTGGGCAGATTTTACAGAAGCTCTCTGTATATGCTTTGGACCAGTAGGGTTCGAAAACTATGATGATTCTCTATCCAAGTTGAGGCAGATAGGCTTGGTGCGAGAGTATCAGTTGGAGTTATAGAAATTAGCTACAAGGGTACACGGATGGCCAGAGACAGCCCTCTTGGGCTGTTTTGTCAGAGGGCTTAAGGAAGAATTACGGATCGAAGTGAAAGCCATGCAACCGGCGTCCATGCTAGCTGCGGTTGGGCTTGCTCGACTGTAAGAGGAGAAATTAAACCGACTGAAAAGATTGGGAAGATTCCCAAGAATCGAACCCATCCGGGCAGAACCTGTGCAGTTCAAGTCGGACCCAGCTTCACGCCCATTGCTCAAGAACCCGCCCCGGATTGAGTTCGGACAAGGTAAGAACACCAGCCAGGCCCTAACCCCATATAAGAGGTTGACATGGGCCGAGATTCAAGCTCATAGGGACCGGGGTCTATGTTACAATTGTGATGAGAAGTTCAGACCCAACCACCGTTGTAAAACCCAACAAAGCTATTTGCTGCAAGTACATGAAGGTGAGGAGGAGCAAGACAAGTCCGATAACCCAGGACCTGAAGGGGAGGAATGGGGGAACCCCTGAACCCAACCAATCCCGAAATATCACTACAAGTCTTACATGGGCATTCCACACCCCAAACCGTGAGAGTTGAAGGGGTATTAATGGGTTGACCTGTCTCCGTGCTAGTAGATAGTGGAAGTACCCTGAATTTCATCACCATAAGCCTCACCAAACAATTGGGCCTGCAAGCCCATTACGTCTCCCCTTTTGGCGCGTATGTGGCAGATGGAAACCGCATCAAGTGCAAAGGAATTTGTAAGGAAGTAGCCATCCAAATTCAAGATTATATAGTGAGAGTTGATTTGCACCCATTAAAATTCAGCGGGGCAGACATTGTGTTGGGAGTACAGTGGCTGAAATAGAAGGGCCCTGTCATATGTGATTGGCAACGCATGACAATAGATTTCGCCCTAGAGGATAAAATTTATCATTTACAAGGGGTTCAACCAACCCCCCTCCAACAGCAAAGCCTGAGAACAATCACAAAGGGCTGTAGTCAAGGCCAATGTCACATCATCCTACGGATGGGCTTAGAACCCATCGGCCTAGTGTTACAATCACCCCAAACCGAAAACTTACTGGAAGAGGAGCAAACACAACTCCAGAAAATATTAGCAGAATTCGAGGATGTTTTCCAGGAACCACAGGCCTTACCACCTCATTGCCTACTACATGATAATCACATTCCGTTGGTACCCGGGGCAGCCCCAACAAACATAAGGCCCTATCGCTACTCCCCCTCTCAAAAAACTGAGATTGAGAAGCAAATTCAGGAGCCAATTCAAAAGAAATTTATCAGGCCAAGTTCCAGCCCGTTTTCAGCCCCAGTTCTTCTTGTCATAAAAAGGGACGAAGCATGGAGATTCTGTATTGATTAATGGACCCTCAACAAAATAATGGCAAGGGACTGTTTTCCCATACCAGTCATTGAAGAACTGCTAGATGAACTACAATCTGTGGCTGTCTTCGCCTGTACTTCCGTCACTTTATATTAGGTTTTTTTTTTTTTTTTTTAATGATATCTTAATATACAGTTCAGATTGGAAATCACATATGGAACATCTCACAACCACTCTAGCTGTCCTGAGATATCAAAACTCTATGCGAAAATGTCTGAGTGTGAATTTGGTAAAACCCAAATTCAATATCTGGGCCATATAGTCAGCCGTGGGAACTGTCAAGGCAGACCCAACCAAGGTTAAATTTATCCAACAGTGGCCTCAACCCACTTTAATCAAGGGACTGAGAGGTTTTCTAGGCCTCACAGGATATTACTGGCGGTTCATAAAAGATTATGGGCTTCTTGCTGCTCCACTAACCCAACTATTAAAAAAGGACTCATTTCATT